TTTTTTTAAAGGACCTTTTATAAGGAATAACAGTAGGGTCCAGCAACAAGATTTAGGCAAATAGGATACACTTATTGAGTAATGGTGTCTCCGTGCTCATCACCTGAGGGAAGTATGCATAAGACACACAATAGCTAGACCAGTGAAGGTTTTTTGAAAAACATAAAAGGACTTGAAGTTTGGTGGAGGAGAATCATGTCTGAGCTAGGGTGTGAGGCATAAGAGGTGACAGGAACCTGGAGTCCTAATGATGAATGCATTCACAAATGTCACAAATTCCTTGTCTAGTTTAGTCATGTTCCAGTTTGTCTACAATCTTAATTACTTTTCTCTGACCCTACAGCTTCAAAAGTTCTCTTCTAGTACAGTACAGTAGAGGTAGCTGGGTTTTATTAGATGTGCACTTGGTCTCCAAAATAGTGCCTAGTGAACATGGTCAGGAGCAGCAGCATAAATTTTCTTTTGGCCATTGTGGAAAGGACGTGGGCACCACTGTCTTAGGTGCTACATTTTGAGTTACACATCTTTACCATTCTTTATGGCTAAAATTGTACCTCTTCCTCTTCTCATACCTATATATCTCTGGAAATAATCATAATTAGCTTGCTTGCTGTGCTTTTGTCACTTTGTATAATGTCAGAATTACAATGTTTTTGGAAGTCTTTGTTTTGGGATATTGAGAGTTTTTATTGATTTATTTAGCAAAGTAGGGTTTTTTTAATATTCTTCAGTTATTATTTGTGTATGTCGGTAGAACACAAATACTATTGAAAGATGTTTAAGAGTGAAAGGAGTATTTTGGTCTCTCATAGGAAACATAAACAACAGAATTTGGAAAAATATAGTGTCAGTGATCAGCTTATCTTGATCTGGTCCTAACTAAGCACAGGTAGCATTTGGCACAATGTTGAAAGCTTAGGATGCACGCTTTAAAATTTCCTTGTTCAGAATCTCCACTAATTTTTCCCCCACACCTAATTGTTGTTATGGACTGGTCAGGAACAAATTGTTATTTCCCATAAGACCCATAAGGCTTGTTTGCAAGGGAAAATGTACCAATTGATGGCAAGGGATTATGTCAGTAAATGCAGCTGAATTGCTGCAGAAAACAAACTGCAGTCATAAGGGATTGATTGCTGTGGATATCTTGCTTTTGTTTGTGACCTATATAAAGAATTTCAGAAGTCTTTCCTAAAACTCTTTTAAAATAATCTACCCTAAAATTGAACCTTTTAATTATATAGAAGACAGCAAAAAAATATAATGGACTAAATTGCTTTCTTCAAACTTTTTATCTTTATCCTCTGTAATGTGCAGTTTACATGTTTGCAAATTAGTTATTGAATGAGTAGTGACTAAAGAATACCTTATTATTAAAAATGAGTCAAAAATCACAAGATTGCACCAGATTTTTAAAAATAATCAATACAGATTTGTATCTGGTTTTCCAGCTTGTTCTGAGCTGTTTTGGTACATCTACTCTGAAATTTGAGACTGCCTGAGAGTAGCTGAGATTTTTTGTGACTTTTCTTAACAGTATAAGACTATTATGATGAGATAAGATTCCAAAAGTGGTTAACAACACAATGCGTGTCACTACAAGAACTTCTGCAAATAAGTATTGTCTTAAAAATTAACATTTCAGATTCAAACAATCTAATGAGAAAGTGATGGTTTAAAACATCAAGTTTTGATATTAAGGAAATGTCTAGTGAGATAGCATAAAGAATGTTTGTATTTTTAAAGAAGAAATAGCTTTTGTATTTTGCGTATGGTATTCTCTATAGTAGTTTTCAGGAAATGCACTAATTGTTTATACCTTCTCTTTGTGTAAAACTTTTAGAAGCTATCAATCAGTTGCTAATGCTAAGTGCACACCCATGCTTCTCCTAAACTATCAGTGTGCTGCTGGAAGCTGTACAATTGGGTTTAGTTTTGAATCCATTTCTAGGGGTGAATTAGTTATTCTGGTCGAAATTTGGGAAATTATTTTGGTTTGAGTTCTTTAAATCTTTTGGTTTAAAGTGCATCCATATTGAGTACATTAATTATTGCTTTTCTAGTTTGAACAGAGTTTACTAAACATTGCAGTGAATAGTAGAGGCTAAACCTATAAATATAGTTTTTCCTCGGCATATCACATATGTGGATTTCATTGATGGCCAACCTTTTTTATGTTATTATTTTGCTCTGCTTTACTGTTCTGTTTTACTGCTCACTCTGTAGAAAATTATTTTTCCTTGTCAGTTTGTATGAGAAATGCAGTTCATTGGTACAATAATTATTTACTACCAGGCGAGAAATTTACTCTTAACAATTTCTCAATGTGAGCTCTTAGTTTCATATGAGCTTTCTGTTATATTATTTCATTAGAGTTTAAAGACAAATAAGATTTATAAATCTAAACCACGACAAAGGGATACTTATTTATTTTCTCAATGGGAAAAATAATGTTTATCAGCATGTTGCAAAACCTGCTTGATAATTTAATCAAAAATAATAAATGCAAAGGATAAAAAGGGAAAATAAGTTACAAAGCTTCATAATTTTGAAATGGATTTGAGATGTATGTTTGCATATATAAATGTTTTGTACTGTGGGTTTATTAAACAGGAATGTTTTTGTTGGGTTATTAATTTGGTATTACAATTTCTTTGCCTGTAACAATCAATGTTGCTATTATATGAGAGTGGAATAGCACTCTGTGGAACAGAGAAATTTTCAGTAACTGAAGCAGCAAATCAAGATTTTTTTACCTAGGCAGGAATATGAAATACTAGGAGGAGTCTGAAATATTTGAGATAATCAGAAATTTTGAGATAAACTAGATGACAATGAGAAAAACAAAAAAGGATTTTGAGGTCTGATAAGTTAACATTATTAAGGTGTCCGTAGCAGGTGTTACTTGATGTAGCTAGATGAAATGTGATTAAATGTTGATGTATATGCTACCAAAGCAGTAGGTTAGCAGCTGAATTACTTTGACCTGAGGTTGTATCTGGAGTATGATGCGAGCAGAAGGCAGGTAGGTATTTGAAAAGAAAACAAGAGAGTTGTATCATAGCCCACCTAAGGAGAATAAAACCAGAAAGAATGAAGGACATGCAAGAAGAGGTACTCAGTAAATACACAGTGAGAGGGAAATGGATAGTTTCACTCATATAAGCTCAAAAGAATAATTGCAGTGCTAAAAAATGGTTTTCCTCCATTATGTGAGCTTTAACATAATTTTGTAGTGATTAAGAGAATGAAATCCCTCTTCAAAAATTGACTTTAATAAATTTTAAAGATGGAGAACTTCAGAACCTGTTTTTGAACTTCTTGCATGTTTTTCTGCTATATATATAAATTTTTAGTTGGATGACTATTTTATGTTAGCTAATATTCATAACCAGAATTATATTGGCTTTAATCTAACATGGATCAGTGAGCAAATAGAGGTGGTTTGGAAAGGCAGCACTTGGTGCAGTGCTTGTATGTTCTTTCAATTACTTTGACCTATCATTTTATGCAGAATTTGACAAATTGCTGTTGCTCAGACTCTCCATGGGGTCACAGCCTCCTTCGGGTGCATCTACCTGCTCTGGCATGGGGTCCTCCACGGGCTGCAGGTGGATATCTGTTCCACCATGGACCTCCATGGGCTGCAGGGGGACAGGCTGCCTCACCATGGTCTTCACCATGGGCTGCAGGGGATTCTCTGCTCTGGCGCCTGGAGCACCTCCTCCCCCTCCCTCTTCACCGACCTTGGTGTCTGCAGGGTTGTTCCTCTCACATATTCTCACTCCTCTCTTCCAGCTGCAGTTGAGCAGCAGCTTTTTCCCCTTCTTAAATATGTTATCGCAGAGGTGCTACCACTGTCACTGATTGGCTTGGCCTTGGCCAGCAGCTGGTCTTGCAGTCTGGCATTGGCTCTGTCAGACATGTGGGAAGCTTCTAGCATCTTCTCACAGAAGCCACGCCTGTAGCCCTCCCACTACCAAACCTTGTCACGCAAACCCAATACACTCATTTAATAAAACATTTCGGATTCCGTCTGGAAGATAAAGGATTTACAGATAAAGCAATAGTACTGACACAAGTAGGTATGCTTTATTCTAAAAGTTATATCTAACTTATATAAAACTCTTTTTGAGCTCTCCTAGTTAAAAACAGTAGATAAAACAAACAAACAAAAAAAACCCCAAAACCACAGCAACAGTTACAAACTAAGATCTTGGTTTTCTAGAAACAAATCATTGAGATTTCTTTTCCGACAATGCTTCTGAAGCACAGATAAAATGGCTTCCTGTTTCCATGTCAACCTGACTTTAACCACTTCTTCCTTAGTTTCCCGAGTGAACAGTTGTAAATCCTGGGGCAGGAGCGAGAGCTCTAGTATGTGGCAATACTGCTTTTACAAAGGTTTCGCAGATGAGTATAGTAAACTTGGTCCAATGAACTGCAAAATGGCAAAATAACAGAAATAATGAACTTCAGATTTGGGGTAAGGAATTGTTTTTATTTATTTTGAATGTAACTCACCTTTATAAAAGTAAATTTAATTTTATAAATGAGCTGCCATGAAAGCAAACTTGTTTTCACTTGGCATTTCTACTTGAATGCTATTGAAACATTTCCTAGTCATTTTTAAGTATAAAAAATAGCTAATAAGCAGTATTTTGAATTTACTAGAAGCCTTTATTTTGGCAGCTTAGTTGTTTTTATGCTGTAACCAATTCATTTCTGGCTAGGTTGGGAGTACATTTGTTTCAGTGTTCATTTTTACTTTGAAAATTTTTTCAGTGTAGTTCAAACTTATGATCCTAAAGTTTTATTTTGAAACTGCTTATTTGGCATGAAAGGAGAATATATAAAATACCAACCTTGAAAGCAACACTTATTTTTTTAAAAGACTGTAAAAGTAGAATCTTTAAACTTTCAAATGAGAATAATATTTATATTTTTTTTTATCTCTACTAGCAAACTCAGAGATGAGTGAGAAGGCAAAAGACAGGAATATGTGTGGTCTGCAAAGTTCTATACCCTGCCCAGGAGCATTCCTGTATATCCTTAATTTTTTTCTTTTGTTGCTGCTCCAGAAGGAGATACTTGGCTGTCCAGCTGTTTGCCAGCTCTGCACAGGGAGACAAGTTATCTGTTGTAACTTAGGGCTTTTGAGCATCCCACGGTACTTTCAAAGAACTACAATTCTTGTATACCTCAGTGGGAATAATATATTGTATGTCATTCCAAATGAATTAAGATGCCTTCAGAAGCTTGCTGCACTGTACATGGATAATTCCATTATTTTGTATGTACACCCAAAAGCTTTTGTGGAACCCCCCAAACTCTGCTAATTGCATCTAAATAACAATAATATTAAACACCTGGATCCAGGAATCTTTGAAGGTCTTTCCAATCTTCACTGTTTATACCTTCAGAATAATTACAGAATCACAGAATGGTAAGGGTTGGAAGGGACCTTGGGAGATCATCTAGTCCAACCCCCCTGCCAAAGAGGGTTCACCTAGAGCAGGTTGGACAGGAATGCATCCAGGCAAGTTGTGAATATTTCCAGAGAGGAAGACTCCACAACCTCTCGGGGCAGCCTGTTCCAGTGCTCTGCCACCCTCAAAGTAAAGAAGTTTTTCCTTATGTTCAGACAGAACTTCCTGTGTTCCAGTTTGTGCCCATTGCCCCTTATTCTGTCACTGGGTACCGTTGAAAAGAGTCTGGTCCCATCCTTTTGACACCCACCCTTTAGATATTTATAAGCATTGATGAGATCCCCTCTCAGTCTTCTCTTCTCCAGGCTAAACACACCCAGGTCTTTCAGTCTTTCCTCATAAGAGAGATTTTCCATTCCCTTGATCATCTTTGTAGCCTTCCACTGGACTCTCTCCAGTAGTTCCCTGTCTTTCTTGAACTGGGGAGCCCAGAACTGGACACAGTACGCCAGATGTGGCCTCACGAGGGCAGAGTACAGGGGAAGGATGACCTCCCTTGACCTGCTGGCCACACTCTTCTTGATGCACCCCA